TCCCTGAGTCATATATAATAATAATATATAATAATTTCATGTTTTCCATATATATATTCATGGATTGCATAATAAAAAGTAGAAGGATGGTAAGAAAACCTGATAATATATCAGGAAAACCAGTACTTAATAGTAGTTGTAGGATGCAGGGAACAAGGGTTCCATCTAGAGAAGAATCTTGTGACTGCAGCAGCAGGATTGTCAGCTAAAGTTTCATGTGGATGGCGTGGTGTTAATTTTTCATAAACTTGATATCATGTACTTTACGTCAGATGGAGTGACGTCTAGTTGATGTAAAATACACATACTTTGGTGACGTAAATATAGGAACGTAAATTTTACGTAAACGTGATGTCATTTTCATGGCAATCGCAATAAATTTACATTGTTTGCAAAAAATTGATATCTTGTTTACGTGAACATGCTGCTTGGGTCCTTTTCCATCTTTCCATCATTGCACCAATTTTCATTTCCCCCGCCGGAACATTCATTCGGTTGCCCCTCGATTCGGCAACGCGGCCCAAGTCTAGGCGATAGGAAACCAGTGGGCCAAGTGGGCAAACAGTAGGCCAAGTCCCGTGCAGCCAAAAATTTCTAGGTATCGTTCCCTGTGTGTCTAGATTTTCGATGTTCGATATCACTTGATACCTCAAGTGATATCGAACGTGTTTTTGTTCCTTGCATGTTTCTGTGCCGTCAAAGTCATTCTTGTGTTCCGAGTGACGTCTTTTCCTCGTCATGGAAAACCGAATGCAACCCTTTCGTGGTGATATCAGTTGTCCAAAGAATATCAGATTATGGGATGAACCGTGCACCAGATTGGGTTTCACAGTTAGTTCAACGCAATATATAACACATTTGGATTTTGCATAAGTTGTTTCTAGGTGTGGTTTCGGGGTTTCAAAGTTTCCTATCTGAATGTCGCCTGGGTTCATGATTTTCTTTCCTTTTAACCTTTGAAATGAGGCTCTATGCGCATAGTACATTGTGTGTGGCATGATGGGTTCATGGGGGAACTTACATTTCTATGTTAATTATTCCGGGAATAAAACCAATCATGAAATTACGAGTGTTTTGTATTGAATGATTGAATTCAAAAAATGTCAAAAAATGACGCACTTTCACTGTGATTTTGGGCATCTCTCAAATTCCTAACTCGAAGCGAGATGGATACATGGAAAAGGCAGCTAACTAACTTCTAACTCGAAGCGAGATGGATCCACAATACATGGAAAAGGCAGCCAAAAAAAATTTAAATTTGCAACCCCAAGAACGCCTGGGAGTAGGAATATGAGAGATGCCAAAAATTATGGGAAAAGTGCGTCTTGCTGAAGGAGAAGTTTCGAATGTTCGGCAAGTCTGAGTAGCACATGACTTATTTTGATGTGTCTCAGCGCAGACTCAAAATGTCTACTAAATATAGACTCTCACAAAGAAAAGGAACAAACAAACGACTACTTCACTTCCTTCTTTCGCCGCGGGGACGGAAAGGGAAGAAACCGAAGCTCGCAACTTGCCTTGCCGCAGAGGAGATTCTGATTTAGCCAGGCCCTGCAGATGAAGAGGACGTCCGCATTGGTCACGCGTCCTCCCTTCAGGGCCCCTGCTGGGACGGACGATGATGCCACCCAATCTAGGTTGCCCTTGGTGCGATTCACCAGCACCTGAAGAAGTTCGACAGAATGCAGAGGCGAATGAGATTAAAGAGAAATCTTTTCGTTTCCCCGTTGCAAAGGCAGTTCGACTTATTCTTTAGATGAATTTCATCCTGAACACGCTGTAAAAATTGAATTCTCTTCCAAATGAAACTGTTTAAAAATTCGTGAAGTTGACTCAACAGTTTAAAAATACACAAATTTTTGACATAGCATGGTTTGAGTGGAGGCCCCGACCTCCTCTCGCCCACCAGACAGAGAGACATTGAGAACTGCGATTGAAAGTTCTTAACTTCACCAGTAGCATAAAGCAAGACGAATAAATCTACCATGTGGATTTGAAAAATCCACTTGTCATATCTTGCTCTCTCGCAAAAAAAAAATCGCAGGTGTGAATCAGTTACTTCATGTTTCCACCGGAATATCCTTTCCAAATAATAGGAAAAAGCAGGCCGCCTTGGACGGTTAGAGCTTGCATGGCCCGAAGTAGTTATCCTTCTTGGTCCTGCCCACGTAGAGGATCTCTCCGCTGGACGTCTTCCCACACTCCACGGCTCCGAATGGGTATTCGCCTCGGCTCGCCTTCACCCACTCCACTACCATATTGTATTTCCCTGGAGGTTACGAGAGAATGGGAGAAGAATCGTTCAGAGATGTGGTGGATTCAAGGTCGCATCACTTTTTGTCCCCGGTCATGACATTTGCCACTAGCTCGGAGTCGGGTTCGAGTGTATCGCTGGTGGTTCGAATCACACTGGGGAGTTGCGAAGACCTCCACAGACGCTGCATTCGTGGCCTTATTCACACCGCTTTGTGCTACCAAGTATTGAATAGTTGCGGCGGTTGTTTGGGTGTTGGTCGAACGTTATGGGGGAATTTAATTTCGAGAAAAAAGAAACAATGAGGACCACCTTCCTCATACGTTGACTTATCGGAAATCAACCTCGGCAGTTCCTGGTCGTCGAAATGATTCGATGACTAATATTAATTCCTCCACGGCAGGCGAGACTCTCGGATCTATGGTGCTTATGGACTCGACAAAATGTTGATCATGCTGACTCCCTTAATTCCACTCAAGTCATTCGTACCTAGGGTCTCGGTGGCTGTGTTGGGGAGTTGGGCGATCGCGATGGGGGAATTTAAATAATGACAACCTCCTTTATTATCAGTTGACTCATTGGAAATCGAACTCGGGAGTTCCTGGCAGCGAAAATGATTCTACGGCTAACATGAATGCCTCCATGATAGGAGAGACTCTGGGATCCGATAATGCTTATGGGCACGCAAGGAAGTTAATCGCAATGAATTCCCCTCTTTCACATAAGTCATTCTTATCTCGCGTCTTGGTGGCTCCTTCTACATATAACTTTTAACAATATCCTAAGACACTCACGATGGTGGAGGCTTGAGTAGGCCAACCAGCCGCTCTCAGGGATGAGGCCACTGGAACCACTTGCAACCAGTTCACAATCCCCCATCTTGGGGTTGTAGTTGACTCCGTCGCATCCTCCGCTTTTATGCTGGTTGATGTCGCATTTCCAGATACATTCCTGAATATTTGGCTCCCGCAAAAAAATTTCCAGAACTCCCGACATCTTAAAATCTTTCTCCAAGAGGTCGAATCTTCTCATCTTCTTCACCCAGCCCTCCATCTCATTTCCCCGGAACCGACACGGAAACATAACACGAAGACCACAACGTCCAAGAACTTCATGGTGAATGGAAAACTCTCCGATTCCTTCGCATATATATCGGACGAATTCCCCCATATATTGCTTGTTTAGCTTCTAACCGCGGTGCAGGGTCGATGGAGGAGAAAAGCGAAAAATCCAGTAAAAGCCTTTGTTCTTTGCTAGCAGAAACAATACAAAATGAATTCTCCGACAAGGAGAAACTGCGAGGGAAGAGAATGTTTGTTTTGTGAAAAAATATTAAGTGAACGTTCAGTGCAGGGGGGGAGGGGGTGTAAGAAACAGTATAAGTCTATAAGGGTGATCGTGCATGAGGAAATCGTCTGGATCGAAATGTGTTGGTGGGCAAGAGGGAACTGGGACAATACTTAAACGTGCAACTGCGTTGTCACCAAAGGAAGAAGGCCGGGGGTTTGGTACCTCAAAAAAATCATGGAAAAGCGATAGCTACTTCATCTATCCAGTCGATTCCGGCGTCCCATCTTTTCCTTGCACGCGTCACAGCCGAGCTAGAGGACCCTCATCCGTACACGGTCGCGGTCATCCGTACGCTACACCCTCATTCGTGTACGACACCCTCATCCGTATACAACTGGGCGTCGATGACGTCATCGAACCGGCCGACACAATCGCAGACGCATTCACCGAGAGAGAGAAAAACTCGCGAAGCTCAAGGGGATTTGAAAGTGTCGAGCGATCCGTCTTCATGCCCCTGCAATCACCGCGAGCCAGAGAAGTTTCCACCGATTCACACAGGGCCCTGGGCAGGAAGCTGAGAGCAAGTGGCATGACCAGAGGGGGGAGGGGAGGCAGGTGATCGGAAGAACGGAAAGTGTTTTTTTAAAATCATATTTATTTTTTTATGGACCCGCACTCGTCAAACTGGGCGATTAACCCTGGAGACCGTTATCTGGAAGCACCGACATTTACGAGGTCGAGCTGATCTCGAAACGGGCACAAGATCCGAATCACTGAAGGACCGAATGGGGTCGTTAGCACGAGGAAACAAGGAGGGGGAAGGGTAATTCTGTTCCCGGAAATTCATAAGTGGAGCAGCTTCATTATTATTCGATCCGAGTTTCGTTTCTGCGTCTCGTTTCGTTCGGAGGAGACGCGGTCCGAGACGAACGAGAGGCGAAGAATCGAGCCCAATACGAGCGCCGAGTTCAGGAGGACGGAGGAGGATCGAGCACGCGTCCGACAGCGAGGGAAAGCGCAACGTGGAGGTTTCAACCTGCTTCCCCCCCTCGGCGACGTGGAGGTTGGAACCTGCCGCTCTCCCCTAGGGAACAGCGGCACCTGCAGGATGCAGCCGGAGGTCTTGCGACACCATGCGGTCGCCTATAAGTATCCCCGATCCTCCATCCCCACTGCACAGACGAAAGCGAATCTCCTCTAGGCCTAAATCATTCCTCTGCTCTTTCTTTCTCTCAGGAGGAATAACTCTCAACTTACCTTTTCTGTTGGACGGGGATCACCTCTGCGAAGGAGGTAGTTCCGTTTTCTCGTCTCAACGGGAAAAAATCGCTCGTTTTAGTGGAAGTCACCAACGGAGCACTTCGGTCTGCTACCAACGTGTGCACCGTGTTCGAAAGTTGGGCGACCGAATCGCCGTGGAACCCGAATCTCGAGTCCCTTCCAATCAGGTTTCAGCTGGAGGCTAGGAGCGACCCGAATGGGAAATTATCCGCTTCTTGATTTTGGATGCGTGAGAGTCGTTAAATTACGTTCGTAATGAGGAGGCCTTCGAGCCTGATTTGGATCACTAGAGTTTCTCGAGGTCGATCATGATTATCATAACTGAAATTCTGATTCACCATGACATCATCAGGGACATGCTCTCGAGAACTCTCGTCCAGGCCGTACTGCTTATTTTCATGTTTATTTGCAGGTGACACATTGAACTCTCGGCGAGAGAGAAGGAGAGAAAATGAATCCGCTTTGGGTGGGCCTGGTGTGCTCGCTCGCCCTCGTGAGGGGCCAGGAGTCGGTCTGCGACCCGACGACGGGGTCGATCTACGACTTCTCCGAGGAACTCCTCGATGGGTCCGAGATCNCTCTCGGGCCCGGGAAGACTACACCTCCATCGCTCCTTTTGCTTGACACTAAGGCTGTTCCGATTATTGCGACATCGCGATATCGTTCGATGTTTCTTTCATCGGCGATACGCCTGCATATCGGGATGATTTAATTTTGCAAAATATTTTTATTTTACTCCTCTGTAATCGCTGGAGAGGGGAAATAGAGCACACGAAACGCGCCATGATCAATAATGGTATATCTTCAGGTCGTCTAATTATTTCGCAATTTGGATGCTCTGGAGAATATCAACCTTGCTTTTGTGTTGATCCAGGAGCTTTTTCTTAGCCTCACGCCTCTGGATATGAAGATGCTTTCGTTGAGGTCGTGAAATGAGGAGCGAGTGTTCTTGTTTCTTCATGGTTTTTTTTTACATTTTTGTTGATGAAAAGAGTGGCATCGTATTTCCCATGGCCAATTACCATATAGATAGAAATGCAGCTGGAACTGCAACGCGCAAGGACGCGCAAGGGGATTCGTTAATGTCCCAGACCCCAGACGGCCTGCAGGAATCGTTCGAATGGAGATATCTCCATTCCAACGATGGGGGCAGGTAAAGTGGACAACCGTGTCTTCTCTTGATGGATACTCTCCATTCAATTCGTCTTCCCATGGGTACAGCGACCATTCCTCCAGCAATTCTCTCAGGGGAGCCTGACAGCCTCCAAGAGCTAATTATTCTTGTCCTCAATTTCCCTATATTAAAAAGTCATGAGAATGTAACATTTGCTGAGTTCGCCTCAAGCCGCTGAATTCCTTGTGCATGAAACTTCGCTTCTGGCCTGTATCCAGAGAGACTCACGACTGTGAAGGCTTGAGTAGGCCAATCATCCACTGGCGACTTGGAGGTAACTGGAACCACTTGCAATGAGCCCACAAGTCTCAATGTCTGGGTTGTATTTGACACCATTGCATCCTCCGCCTTCGTGCTCGTTATTGTCGCATTTCCAGATGTATTCCAGTCTATTTGGCACTTCCCAAAAAACTTCCAGCCCTTTCGACAGCATTGAATCTTTTCCCTTCAGACCGAATCTTCTCAACCCCTTTCCCCAGTTCCCGAGAGGGCAACCTGAATATAAAGACTGCAACGTCGAAGAACTTCATGGTGAATGGAAAAGTCTCCGTTTCATTCGCATCTATGTAGCACGAACACTACCATACATTGTTTGTTTAGCTTGAAAAAATAGGATGAATCAAGGAAAAAAGCTAACAATCCTGTAGAAACCTTCCTTCTTTGCCGACAATATCAATACGAAATGCATTCACTGATAATGAGCAATTGTGAGGGAAGAAAATGATTATTTTGCGATGGAATACCGAAGTACTTCCCATGCTGGAGGGGTGGGGTGGGGGGGGGGGGGGGGGAAAGATACAGGCGACGTCTAAATCGTGCAAGAGGAGAATGTCCTGATGGAGCAAGTGTTGGATTGTGTTGTGGGAAATGGAGCTGCAGTACTGCAGTATGGAGACCGCATCTCCGGTCTATGGGGAAGGGAAAGTGAACTCGTGGCTCGATCTGGAACCGCTTTCCACGCATGTCCATGTCTCAAAGGTACCACATGGAGCGTTTCCCTCAGGCATTTGGTGGAAGCCAACTCGGACCTCCAGGCCATTCAGTGGGTTGTTTTTATTTTCTCTTGCAGATGGTTTTCATGGGCTTATTCCCAATGAATGCACTCACACAAAACCCAATTGCGTTATTTATTGCGTATGATTAACTGTGGAACTAAATCTAGTGCACAAAGTAAAAATGTTCATCCGGAATCAGACCTTCTTTGGACTATTGATTTCTCTCACTTGATTCAATCCCAGAGGGAACAATTTATCCGAGAAAGTAAAGCGGAAAATTTTCAGAACCCAGATGGTCATGAGTTTAATTCTTTGTTTTATCATTTGATACCCGGGAGAATCTCTTCAAAGTGCTTTCTCTTATCACTAATACGTGTCGTCATAAAAATACAAATACAAGGTGGGTTTTATGTTCGAATTCAAATTTTATCGAGATTTAATTTCTAAACGCGGGTCAATTAAAAAAATTCGGAGATGTGGATCTGAAAGTCCACTTCACCAGTCAAAAGAGCACTTGAATCTGCTACAAACGTGTGCACCATGTTCGAAAGTTGGGAATTACATTCTCTGTTTATTCTCAGGATATTTCCGGTCTGAAATTCTCGCCGCAGCGTCACGAACGTCATGCGAACGAATTGCCGTGGAACCCGAATCTCGAGTCCTTTCCATTCAGGTTTCAGTTCGAGATTAGGAGCGACCCAAATAGGAAATCATCCGCTTCTTCATTTTGGATGCATGAGCTTCATTAAACTGCGTTTGTAGGCAGTTAAGGAGGCCTTCGAGACTGATTTGGATCACTAGAGCTTCTCGAGCTCGATCATAATTTTCATTCCTGAAATTCTGATTCACCATGACGTCATCGGGACATGCTCTTGAGAACTCTCGTCCAGGCCGAACTGCTTATATTGATGATTATTTCCAGGCGACACATCGAGCGAGCGTCCGACAGCGAGGGAAAGCGCAACTGGAGGTTTGAACCTGCTCCCCTCCTCTCTGCGACGTGGAGGTTGGAACCTGCCGCTCTCCCCCAGGGAACCGCAGCACCTGCAGGATGCAGCCGGAGGTCTTGCGACACCGTGCGGTCGCCTATAAGTATCCCTCCCCACTGCGCAGTCTCCCTCGACACCTGGCCGCGGCAACACGTTCATGCGTTCGCCAACTCTCCTCTAGGCCTAAGTCATTCCTCTGCTCTTCCTTTCTCCCAGTTAAGGAGGAATTACATACTTCTTCACTTTCCTTTTTTTGTTGTACGGGGATCACCTCTACGAAGGAGGTAGTTTCGTTTTCAAGACTCAACGGGAAAAAATCGCTCGTTTTAGTTGAAGTCACCAACAGAGCACTTGAGTCTGCTACCAACGCGTGCAGCCTGTTCGAAAGTTGGGAATTACATTCTCTGTTTATTCTCTGGATATTTCCGGTCTGAAATTCTCGCCACAGCGTCACGAACCTCATGCGAACGAATTGCCGTGGAACCCGAATCTCGAGTCCTTTCCATTCAGGTTTCAGTTCGAGATTAGGAGCGACCCAAATAGGAAATCATCCGCTTCTTCATTTTGGATGCGTGAGATTCATTAAATTGCGTTTGTAGGCAGTTAAGGAGGCCTTCGAGACTGATTTGGATCAATAGAGCTTCTCGAGATCGATCATAATTTTCATTCCTGAAATGCTGATTCACCATAACGTCATCGGGACATGCTCTTGAAAACTCTCGTCCAGGCCGAACTGCTCATAATGATGTTTACTTCCAGGCGACACATTGAGCTCTCGGCGAGAGAGAAAGAGAGAAAATGAATCCGCTTTGGGTGGGCCTGGTGTGCTCGCTCGCCCTCGTGAGGGGCCAGGAGTCGGTCTGCGACCCGACGACGGGGTCGATCTATGAATTCTCCGAGGAACTCCTCGATGGGTCCGAGATCGTCGACTTCGGTGATTTCGCCGGGAAGGTCGGTTTATTTGCATTTTCCGCGTCGAAGGACGACTCGGATCGAGACGACTTGGTTTCGTCGCAGGTGGTGATGGTGACGAACGTGGCGACCTTCTGAAGTCGGACCACGATCTCCTACACGGAATACAACGCACTCCAAGCGCAATTCGGGGATGACCTCGTCATCCTCGCTTTCCCCTGTAACCAGTTTGAATACGTGAGTACCGACTCCCATCGACACGACCCGACCTAATTATCGATAATCGATCACGAACGATCCTCGATCCCCAGAAAGAGCCGGGGGCGACGGCGGCCGAGATCTTGAACGGGATCACGCAAGTCCGCCCGGGGGGTGGCTACGTCCCCCAGTTCCGTCTCTTCAAGAAGGTGGAGGTGAACGGCAGCGGGACCCATCCCGTCTTCGCCTTTCTCAAGGTCCGGTTTCGTTTCTCTGATGGCATCGTGTCGACCTCTTGTCGATTTTCGGGCGATTCCGCTATCATTTTGTCAAGAGACTGGAGAAAATTCCAAGGGAAAAATTGAATTTAAAAACACTCACACACAGGAAGAAAATTTGTTTTCATGTGGAATTTTAATATATCCCAGATCTACTCGCCCATAAAGAGAGAAACTGTTGATAGAGTTATGAATGAAAATAATTAATTGCAGTTTTTAAGGAATCGTGCGTAAGAGTTGAGACATCCGCCAATTTTATATTGATATCTTGACCGACCCTTTGTCCGTAACCATGTAAAATTAAAGATTTATTTGGTAGGAACCAAACATTTTCTCAAAAGAAAAAATATGGACTCGTCCTGATTATGCATTGCTACGATGCTCATGGAAAAAATCTATTGTTTGCTCAGGGGACTTGTCCGAGCACGACGGACGAATTCCTGTTCAAGAGCGAACTGTTCTGGGACGAGTTGAACTCTCGCGACCTGAGATGGAACTTCGAGAAGTTCCTGATCGACAAGACGGGGAAGCCCTACAAGCGCTACCACCCGGGCGTGGACCCCATCACCATGGCGCCCGAGATCCAGGCGCTTATCGAGGCCTGATTCCATCGTGCGTGTCGAGAGGGGCGTGAGGTCGGAGGAGCGAGGGCGGGGAGAGCCAGGAATGACGAGGCGCCCTTAAACCGAATCTCGGTGGGGAGTTTCCGATGACGCGACG